TTCACACCACAGCCAGCCAACACCCACGTGGAGGATGGATCTGGCTCAAGCAAGGCCCCACGTGGCAGTGGGGCATCAAGTAAGGTGTTTGAATAATAAAGACAGCATTGTTTTCCAAACTTATGTTTTTATTGGCAATCCTACCACACGTGGATTCACTGTCACCCACTGGTCATTACAGGACGCAGGGTTTCCCCTGAACCCCAGGTGTTGAAGTGAAGGCGAGCGAGAAGTGCAGTGCCCCTGTGGGCAGAGCTGCAGGAAGCCCCATCTCTTCCTCAGACGAGGAGCACTGCGCCCCCCTGCTCCCCTCCTCGGGCTGCTGCCCACTGGCACCCTCTGCTTCCAGTGGGGCCCGTGCCCAAGGTCTCAGCCTGAGCCCAGAGCACCCGGCTCCAGGATGGGGAAGACGTGCCCTGTTAACACAGCCCTGCCCCCTTCCCTTCCCTTCCCACCCCAGCCCTTGCTAGACACCTCGCGCAGGCGCGCGAAGGTGACGGGCCGCCGCCGGGTCCCCCAACCGAGTCTCGCAAAGCAGGTGGGCCGGAAGCGGGTGCCTGCACGTGCCCCGGGGCCGGGCCAGGGCCCGCGACGGTGGACGCAGAGGTGACAGGCCCGCACGGAACCCCCCGCCTCCCACCGGGGCCGAGCCGGCTCCCAGAACACCTCGGCCACCCACAGGAGGCGGCTGCGCCGGATAGTGGGCACTACCCCGCCTCGCCCGTCATGGGGTGGGGGTGGGGGAGGGGCCGCCCCCACGGCAACCGCCGGCGCGACACCAACCGCCACAGCCCGGTCCGGAGCCGGACGAACAGAAGCAACGTCGACGCCTGCGCGGTGAAGATGTGCGGGAGGGAGGGAAGAAGGAAGTGAGGCAGCCGGCCTGGGGCGACTACAGCTCCCAGCATGCACTGCAGCACGGCACTGCGACCCGGCGTTGAGCAATGTAGTTGTCCAGTCTCGGTTGGGGGACCCGGCGGCGGCCCGTCACCTTCGCGCGCCTGCGCGAGGTGTCTAGCAAGGGCTCGGGTGGGAAGGGAAGGGAAGGGGGCAGGGCTGTGTTAACAGGGCACGTCCTGAGGAGGTCCCTAACTCTGTGCTGGGAACCAAGCTCCCTCCTGCATCACCTCTCCTCCTTCTCCCTGTAGTTCCAGCGAGCACAGGCCATCAAACAGTAGCATCCCCATGTCCCAGACAAGGGTTCACCCATCATGGATGTTTACCATAGGATGATCCAGGATGGGGAAGAGAGGAGGGGAGAAATCAGGCTGCTGAAGAAACCTGTTGCTGTACAGCTGGAAGCAACAGGCCAGGATCATTTACAGAAAGGAGCCAGGGAAAAACGTCAGGGTCACCCTAACAACGTGATTTCACATCACACTCACTGTGGCAGCTCCACCTGCAAAACAAGCTGGCAGGCCTCGCAGCAGTTTCCCCACTGCTTCAAAACCCATCCGGCTGACAGGTCTAGCTGGTCCCTTGCCAGTCTCCAGAGAGAGCCTAACACTGAAGTCTCCTCTTATTTCAGAGTAGTAAAGCACTGGACAGGTTGCTACTAAACCAGTTTTAAAGGGACAGAACCTTGTCACCATCCCATGTAAGCCAGCACCCCACACCAAGAGCAGCCTCAGCAGCAGTGGCATTTCCTACCAACCCTCTTACAACCTTTTTAGGTTGGGTGAAAGTTGGACTACTAATAATCAGTGCTGCCGCTAAAAAACTTAGATGAGGCAGTCAGTACAAATATGCCTGGGCACAATCCCTGTTGGTAGGAGGGGAGAGAGACAGTCATGTCTAAGGAGTGCAAGATTTTTTTAAAGAAATTAAATGAGTGATTTGCAGCTCTCTTCCAACAATATTCAACTGGAACGGAGCTAAATCCCTAATCTATTGCTTTCTAGGTCTCAGCTCCCCAGTCAAGAGCGACAGTTCCAGAGGGTCAGTGACCTACTAGCTGGCCCACCCATTCACCACTGTCCCAATGTTTTTCTTTCATATGACATTTTAAGATTAAAACATTCATACATTAATATCCAAATCTGATAACCCTTCCACTGCTTCAGGGGTAGCTGCATGGATTAATTTTAGAGCCCATTAAATGATCTAATTGGGTGATCATTCACTACGTGTTGCACCATCTGAAAAATAGCACCACAATGGAAACCCAGTGTCTTTGATTCTCCATTTGTACTGTTCCAATGCATTCAGCAGATTCAGGCAGCAAAGGCTGGGTGTCTGAGTGAGACCTTTATTGAGCACAGTCTGACTCTCCCATGTGCACACATGCAGGAAGTGCCAGGGTGCACCTAGCAGCATGACAAACGGATACCTTAAATACAGTAACAAGATACAACAAAACGCAAGGCCCAGGGGTTGGCTGTAGCAGTGCTAGTTTAACAACACAGCCAGACCAGGTCCTTTGGGGAAATGTGATATCTTGGATTAGACTGACTAAATTTATATATCACATTTCCCCAAAGAACCCGGTCTCACTACCAGTCCCCGCAGGCGAGCGGCCGGGCCGACCCAGGCTGCGCTCCCATCGCCGGCGGTTATTTCCGGATGAGGAAGTCCTCATACTGCAGCGTCGCCACCTTTTTCTCGTTGCGGAACTCGGCTCGGTCGATGCGGGACTTGGGGCTGCCTGTGTCCCGCAGCCACTGCTGCAGCTGCCGCACAGCGGCGGCTGGGCCCTGCACCTGCCCCTGCACAGTGCCGCGCTCTGTGTTCCGGACCCAGCCGACCAGCCCCAGCTGCCTCCCCTCGGCCTGCGTGGGGAAACGAGAGACAGGGACACCCCGCGTTAGAGCCGGCGCCGCGCATCGCCATCGCGGCCGCACCCAGGGCGGGGCGGGGCGGGGCGGGGCGGGGCGGGGTAAACCCACACCTGCGTGTGCTTGCGAAAGAAGACGCCCTGCACCTTGCCGAAGACCTCGTAGTCCACAGAAACGAGGTTGTCCATGGCGGCACCGGCCTGGCACACAAGCACCGCACACAGCGTCAGCAGCCAGCCCCGGCCGCTCCCCGCGGACGCCATGCCGGAAACCCAGCGCGTACGCCCTCCCCGCGCCCAATGGGGGCAACCCGCACCCCTGCCTCATGAGTAATGGAGAAGGGGCGGGGCCTCGCCGCCCCGCCCCACTCACCTGCCTGCCGCCAATAGGACCCGCCCCAACCACCCCAACGGCTGCACAGTCCCCGCCCACCCACCGCGCGCCTAGCCTTTACGGGCGCGGGGTCATAGAGCCGAAGTTCGTCTGTGAGCAGAGCGGCTCCAAACCAGACAGGCGAAGCCCGCCAAGGCGTAGAGCGGAAATGAAGGCGAGCCGTGTCGGAAGTAGCGTTGACGCGCCTGGTTCCTAGGCAACTGTAGTAAACAGTCCGCGCGCCGTGCTCGGGGTTGCAGGGAGCGGGCCGCAGACCCAGGTGAGGAGGTCTCCTCACCCCACAGAGGTCCCTGCCGGGTGGGCCGGGGTGTCGGGGCCGCGCGGGCAGGTGCGGCAGGACCCAGCCTCCAGCCGCGGCATCACCTCCCCGGCCCGCGGACTCCTTAGCTGGAACTGGCAGCAGAGCGGGGCAGTCCCGCCGCCGCCTGCCCCTAGTCCCAGGCAGGCCCAGAGGGAGCCAATCGGGTGCTTCCTGCCTCCCGGCCCGGTGGAGCAGCGGGCGTTGGCCCGCTCCCCGCCGTCACGTCACAATCCCTTGCCACCAATCAGCAGCTCAGCGACATTCAAGCTAGCCCGAGGCAGAAGGGCAGCGCGTGCGGCGGGTTGACGCCTGCGGACGGGCCGCACGGGGTACTGGGGCCACCGCAGTGCCGACCCCTCCCGCCTGGGGCACTGGGCTGCGCTCGCACCGCTTGCAGCCGCGTGGCCCCAGGGCCCCCCCTGCGAAAGGAACAGAAGTCCCCGGTGTTTCCTGCCGCAGTCTCACTCCGGGCTGCGCTCCTGCTTCCAATGCCAAACATGCCCCCGATGCCAGATGCCCTGAAGGGCGGAGGTGCCTGGTCCGGCAGCGCGGGGGGGATGGTGAGCCAGAAGCTGCCTTCCCTAGTTTTGCAGCATTTCTATATGCTGAGCCCAACTCCAGCTCCTGGTGGGACTCGTGGCCACCAGATGCTGTGGAAGCTGCCAGTGCAGCCAGCCTCAGGGGTTGGACAACTCCTTGGAAGAAAAGGGCTTCGGGAGCTACTGAAGCGAGGGGCACACCCAGAAAGAGGGAGCCTCTGAATCGGAACTGCCTAGACCTTGAGTGCTGGAGGCTGCTGGGCAGAGAGGAGCCTGGTCAGACCCAGTTCACTCCCCCTTTCAGCACCTGCCCCTTGCCCCCATGTGCCAGGTGACCAGGCAAGATAGACTGACCCAGTCAATGGCAAATCTTATGTTCTTGCATACGGGCCCAGCACTGCCATATGCTAAATATGAAATTACCACATTGGAAGCTCAAATTATATTTTCCGAAAAACTATCATACACTGAAAAAAAAAAGTATGCAAATAAATCTTATTTGTATTGCTCACTGTAACTCAACAGTGAGAACTGGGTTAAAGTCAAAGCATTTCTTTAGTTTGAGGCAAGCAGTCATACAAAAGTGCTGACAGTGAACCTGAAAGTCAGTTACAATTCCCTGAAAGTGACTTGGGTTTTGTATATGCTGCATCATTTAACTGCCTTAAAAATATCTTACACTTTGAACACTTCACTATTATCTATTGTGCATCATCCAAGGGTTGAAATGATTGTACAAATACAATAATTACCCTACACCTGGCGGTGCTGTATGGGTCTCCCTTGGGAGAATCTAAAGGACAACAACCTCCCTGGGGAGTAGTGTAAGGGGGAAGCTCTCAGGAGGGGCACTATGGCCCCTGCTAGGTTTCATATATGATGCAATTAATTGATGAATCATGCAATAGCTGTAGACTGGCCACATGTGCAAAGTAATGACCTTACCATAAAAATGTCTATCTAGCTATAACAAGAGCCAACCAGCTACCAAGTCTGTGCTTGAAAAGGTGTAACAATTTTATAGCTGGTTTCTGTCCAGCTTAAATTTGAACGTGTGGCATGGCCCTATGAGATCTTATTAGGCAAGACTTCCCTGACATCCGAGTTAATTCCTGCTGCCTCTGTACTGGGATGAAACCCAGGCTTGGAAAGGAACAAGGAGCCCTTATCCCCAACTGTATTAGCAAGCAATTGAGCCAGAAGAGGAGCTCAGGGAGTGAATAGAGTCTCAGAGTATAGAGAAATGGAAAAAGGTCCATGGGTTCCTTCATTTCCTTTAGAACTGGTCAGTGCCCTGCCCCTAGAGTGTACATTTTCAGGAAGAAGCACTAACTGGGAATCTGACCAGTCAGTAATTACTCTATTTCTGCCCCCAGGCTCTACCACAGCCTCTGAATGGCTCAGCTACAGCTGGCCTTGTATACACATGTGGATTCTGTGGTGGCATCTCCTGGTCTTCCCTTGATAGGGCAGGAGAGGTATCACTCCAAGGCCCTTGGGCATCAGACCCAGCTTGAACACCTGAAGAACAACTTCCAGCAGCAATTCCTCCATGACAAAGAGGAGAGGCTGAAGGGTCTGTGCACCCACAAAGCCCAGAGCTATTCATGCTCTCTCTCTGCTGGGAGCAAACAACAGAACCCTGGGCAGGCCAGCTTCTACTCTGCAGGACCCCACAGCAGATACCCTACCAATCAGGCCAATACTCTGCCTTCCAAATGGATAGCCAGGCGAAGAGGAGTGGACCGGTCATACCCCCTGAAACCAGTCTTTTACTGCAAGGCTGGAAATGTTCCAGTGGCAAGTGCTGGTCAGCTCAGAAGTCCCCAAGCCATGGAGGGTTCTCCCAGTAGCAGGTCTAGCTCAAAGAACAAAGGGAATTTTACAACAGCCAGGGCCCTGCCGGATACAGAGGCATCACCTTGGTCAGCAGAGCCTAAGCATTCAGCCTCTCGTTTGGACAGACCAGAGTTGGGTTACATTCAAAGGTTGGAGGCAGCTGGACAGAGCATGGAGGTGGAGATCCGCAGGAAAGAGGCCCTCCTCTGGGAGAAGCTAAAGAGAACAGAGGAGGAACTCAGAAGGATCCAGAGAGAGAGGGAGCAGGTGGAGGTGGAAGAGAGAAAGGCAACAGGGGTGCTGACAGAGGCACGAAAGATGCCTGAAAGAAAGGAAAATGTTTGCAGAGCTACCACCAGACCCAGTGAGGGGTGCTATAACCAGGGGCAGTCGCCAGAGGGTGCCAGTCTTATGACTGGCATCAGTTTCCTTCCCTGGGAACTGGGCATTGAGAGACTCGAGAAAGAACGGCTGGTAGCCAGCAATAACAAAATTCGAGACCACATCCCTCTGGAGAGCTTGGCCTCCCGCCCAGAGCTGGTTTTGAACTATAGCCAGGCTCCATCTGCAGCAGCTCTCTCCCACCAAGTCTTAAGCCACTACCAAGCAGCAGAGCCATTGTATGTGCAGGCCCCCACTGCTGCAGAGCAAGGGGAGCTTGGACAATGTGGTTTCTGTAGGCGCCAATTTCTCTGCTTTAGGCTGGAGAAGCACAAGAACATCTGCAGCAAGAATCAGGGCTCCAGAAGGAAGGTATTTGACTCAAGCAAGGCCAGAGCCAAGGGCACTGAACTGGAGCAATTTAGGCAATGGAAGGCCTCAGACATCCCACAGGTAACATGCACCCTTCTGTGGCTGCCTTTGCTCAGACTCCCCTTTCCTTCGGGTCTTGCAGTAAGGCACCTGGAATTAGACTTGTGTAATGTGTACCATATCCCACCCCCTCCATTCAGGCTCCTTTACATCTAACCCTCTCTTGGGGAAGTTGGCAATGAACCAGCTCAAGGTTATAGCTCAAGGCAGCAATACCTTGAAAGTGGGGTCTGTACTGTTCACACAAGGTACAGATATGAAACAACCTGCTCACAGGGAAGCCTTCTTGCTCATTACTGAGTTTCTTGTGTGGTCCCTAGCACCTGGGCCTGAGGCACTGAAGCATGCCTCAGTCCTTCCCCGTCACTGTGAATATGCCAGAGCAGTCCCTGGGGAAGTATATCCTTAGGCAGTCTTGCAGACTCCCTAGCAGTGGGAAATTCTGTTTGTGATCTACTGAGTGCTCTGCTGTTTGCTTCTCTGTGCCCATGTGACTGCCCCAGGTTCACAGCTGTGACAGTAGCACCAGCACCATCAAACTGCCCCTAAGCTCCAAGCAGGCTTCACCTGCTCCTTTTGTGAGACCCTCAAGCTGAAGGGAGCATGTAGAAGCAGCAGCTACCCCCAACTCTTCTGAGGTGAAGTTTTGTGAGAGGGTGTTGAATCTACTGGGGGAAAGGGAGTTCTGCACTGAGGCGGGCTTGGGGCGAGAGGGCTAGGGGGAATCTCCCAATAAGAGGGTGAGTAGAGGCTGGACTTGGAGCCAGTGCAGCTGTTGCTCCTTCCTTCTGCACTAACTGCACCTCCTACCTTGCAGGATGAGCCACCTCAGACAAACAACTGGAGACAGAAGCATGAGTATTTCATCCGGACCCTGCGCCAGGCCCGCCAGGTGCAGCAGGTGCTGTCCAGAGGGGGAAAGCTCTCAGACTTGCCCCCACTGTCCCCAGTAGAGAACCCAGACTATGTCTCCTGCCCCCACTGCAGCCGCCGCTTCGCACCCAAAGTGGCTGAGAGACACATTCCCAAATGCAAGACCATCAAAAACAGACCCCCACCCCCACCCCAAAGGAGACGTTGCTAAATGGGATCTGGCCTCACCAGGGTCTGCCCTGGCTGCTCTTACAGCCTCATTTTGTGCTGTCACCCTTCCCCAAGCTGGCTGCTGTGGTATAAGATAGTCCCATGTACAAGGAGCCATGGACAGCGTATTAAAGTTTGTGTACTTTGAGCTGCGGCCAGCAGTTTCCTAAGCATGTAAGTGGGTCAGAGCAGCTTCCATCTCCACCCCTGCTCCTGGCTGGTTCCAGAGTCCTCCCTGTGTGACTGTACAAAGAGTCCAAGAGCACAATGTCTCATATGTAGGGAAAAGAACATGCTGCTATAGGCTATAGCAGGAGGGAAAACCAACTATGATCAGCAAACTGGTCCTCAGCATTCTGTTTAGCACCCACCTGAGGGCTTGTTCTTTCTGTTGGAAAATAGCAGTCAGACACAGAAGCTGCTAAGCTCCCTCATGATCCACCTCAGGCCTGCCACAGAGGAAGTCCCAGGTCTGAGGAGGGCCAACTGAAATTCATAGATTCATAGATGTTAGGGTCGGAAGGGACCTCAATAGATTATCGAGTCCAACCCCCTGCATAGGCAGGAAAGTGCGCTGGGTTCAGATGACCCCAGCCAGATGCCCGTCTAACCTCCTCTTGAAGACCCCCAGGGTAGGGGAGAGTACCACCTCCCTTGGGAGCCCATTCCAGATTTTGGCCACTCTAACTGTGAAGAAGTTCTTCCTCGTGTCCAGTTTAAATCTGCTCTCTGCTAGCTTATGGCCATTATTTCTTGTGACCCCCAGGGGCGCCTTGGTGAGTAGAGCCTCACCAATTCCCTTCTGCGCCCCCATGATGAATTTATAGGCAGCCACAAAGTCGCCTCTCAACCTTCTCTTGCGGAGGCTGAAGAGATCCAGGTGCCCTAGTCTCTCCTCATAGGGCTTGGCCTGCAAGCCCTTAGCCATATGAGTGACCCTTCTCTGGACCCTCTCCAGGTTATCCACATCTCTCTTAAAGTGTGGCGCCCAAACCTGGACACAGTATTCCAACTGCGGTCTGACCAGTGCCCAATAGAGGGGAAGTATCACCTCCTTGGTTTTGTTTGTCATGCTCTGCTGATGCATGATAAAGTGCAGTTAGCTTTGCTGATGA